TGGCGCTTTTTCTGTCTTTCACGTGGCGTTCCAAGCGGCACACGACGGAAAATGCACATCAAGCTGTTCTTGAACATGTGTCGCCATCTGTACTTTATATTAAGAAACTGCAATTCGCCTTAACTGAATGGGAAAAGTTTGAGGTCATATAACATTCTTAACGTGTAATATATCGATATGGAAGTTCAGGAAAATGTAATATCGAAGGATGCTTCATAATTTAATGTCTCGTTATTTTGATTAGTTGACGTGATTCCGTTTTTATAGCCGCATAAAATATTACAATTTTAAACTTTAGTTTTTATTTTAAAATATACATCATCTGTGCAGTTCGTTGCTTACTTTTTTATTTTATTACATCTAACCGAACGCTCATGTACAATATCGTGGACGATGGTACGTTATAACTTGAGAAATAATTTTTTCAATATTGGAGAGTGTGGTCTATTAAAAGCCGAATAATTAACTAACAACTAAAAATAATCGTGATGTCAAGACATTAAACCATTTTCGAAAAACTGCTCTTTAATTTGACACTAACTTTATAATTGTAAGATACATAGAAACAAAGTTATAAGCCGTCGGAAAAGCACTAAAAAGTCATGCATGGTGGGGTTGCACCTTAAGGGCACAAGGTAAGGTAAAATTGAAAAAAAATTCGATTTTAGTTTTTTCGCAATTTGAAAAGTTTAGTTCTTTCTGCACATTTTCCATTGTCCCAGTGTTTTTAGAAAGCTATATTTCGGGCTGAAAATCACTTCTTCCGAAAGCAAGTAGCAGGTGACCACGCCTCCTTTTGGGATACACTCCCTGTTAATCGATGAATTCTCCAACAAAACAAAATCAACACAAGACCTAAAAGCTTGTCCAGTAACAGATAATCTCAAAAAATTATTTCGCAGCTATTGCATAGCTTTTTTTCAACCAAGACAATCACGAGACGCTGTGTACGTTTTTCCCAGGTGTGTACCGTGTGTACATTCAAGCATTTGTGTTTTCGTAACGACAAAATGGCGCCATTGAATGCTGTTCCTTCATTCAATGGTGGCAGCATTGCACAAGCCAATGTTTTGAAGTTTTGTGGATGGAACCCTGTTTGGAAAGCCATCAAGTGGCTGAGGGAAGTTGACGTCACTCTAATATACTTTACGGACCAAGCGACATGGCAGGTCACAAAAGAGGCCCGGCAAGTAGGGGTGTCGCGAACCGGCCAAGGTTCGAGTTCGACCAGGTTCGACTTTTTCGAACTTTTAGTCGAACATTCGACGAACCTTGTATTGAGGTTCGACTCGTGTGCGCATGCGCGACAGGCTGGCCAGTTGGCTTCGGATTGGATGGTGATGGCTAAGGGATTAATAAAGGACAGCGCTGATTGGTTATTTCAGTTAATACAGTACAAAAAAATTAAGTTATTAACTTCTTTAGTGATTAGAATTAGTTTATTTTAATTGCAATTGTTTATAGAATAAAAAAAAACATTTTTATAAAAATAAATTTTCTAAACCTAGACATGCTTGTATCAAGGTCTGGCCACACTGTCCACAAAGTCGAACCGGTCGAAATTGGTGAAAAGTCCGAAGGTTCGTCGAACCGGTTCGACCCAGTCGAACCCCGAAAGTTCGACCTAAAAATCTGTTTCGACAAAAGTTCGCGACACCCCTACCGGCAAGCAAGGCGATAAGCCTAAAGGCGAAGACATGACTTTAGCAATGCCTTTCAAGCTGGCGGCTATTGAAAACTCTGAGGCTGTTGGTGCCAATAGAAATTTGTTATTCACCAGTTTTTTTACTTTAAACTCAATTATCTCAAAACAGTGTTTTTTAGTACATAGGTACCATTTTTTCCTTAACCTGACATTATAGAGGGTTGATTTTTTATTCCTACCACATACATGGGTGTTCAAAAATACTGAACTAAAATTAAAAATGTGCACCTAGCAGTTTTTGAGATACGAAGTATTTAATAGATGAAAACAACTAAAATTTCAGTACTAGAATAAAAAAAATATAAAAAACAAACTTATTATAGATTGGTTCAAATAATTCTAGTTCAGTGGATAAAACACAATATTTCAAACAAAATGATATTTACATGACAGGAATACTCCTAATAGTCACCGAGAAAAATGTTCCTCAACATGGCCTCAAATGCATGGGGAGTATAGGACTTACCCTGTGCCCTTAAGCGCCTGCTGACTCTGACCCGTTCGCCAGATTTCTTTCACACCGTCGAAACGCTTCTTCATGGTAAACGAGAAGCTATTTTATCCACAGCTCGTGCTGATGACGCCATATGGTCTCCGTAAGCCCTGCTTTGAGTCAACGTTCAACTTTACTCGATTACCTCAGTTGTGGAACTGTCGCGGAGGAAAGTACCCTTTCCTCCCTCCTCACTTCCTTCAGTTCGCCATCCGTAGCCTTCCGCTTTTTGAAGGGCCATGTAGATTTTCGTTTGAAAACTGCGTGTTCCATGGAGTACGGTGAAACGCCCTCCTGACGCTGTACTTCGTAGCATACGTGTTCCTCAGAATACACTATCACTTCCCATAGCAGCCGTCCCCCCAAAATGTTGGCGCGTCGAATGTCGGGAGGCGAGACGTGGCATGAGGGGGGTACAGCTCGTGCAAGCGGCGTCTGGGGGCAGTTTCGTAATTTAGCCAATCTAGTAACGTTGCTTCGAGTGCATTGGTTTCACTGACGTCAGGTCAGCAGCCATTGTGGTGGCGTTGCTGCCTAGGGTGCCTTCATGTGCGCTTTGCTTAGGGTGGTGGCATCTCGCCATTTTGTCCCACACGTTTATTTTTCTTTTTTGTTCAGAAGCGCGTGAAAGAGCGTGTCCCTGCACGCGTTTGTGGCGCTGATTGTGCTATGGCGACAATTTGTTTTCGTCGATTTCTTTGTATTTTCCCCGTGAGCGCGTGCTGTCGGCATCGAGTACCACAAAGGGTGGCATCACCCTAAACAGAAGGACATTAAGGCGCCCTATTGCTGCCGAGTGCGTACCTTCTGCAGCTTACATTTCGCACCATCCGATTTGTTTTTCTCTATAAGAACAGCTATAAAAAAGTGAAAGCCGTTTACAACTCCCTGTAACGCCGAATTGGAGCGCAGCTCTTGAGGAGGAGGAGTGAAGGGTACTGAGGGGAGGATAGACCCCTCCTCCTCCTCTTCCTCCCCTCATTCTTTAATATGCTCCGGGGGGGTCACGTGACCTCGGGGGGGGGGGGTGTCACGTGACCTCGGGGAGGTGTGACCTGGGGGATCACGTGACCTTCTGGTGACCTTAGGGGGTCACGTGACCTTGGGGGGTCACGTGACCTTGAGGTGACCTTAGGAGGGGTCACGTGACCTGGGGGTCCCGTGACCTTGGGTGACCTTGGGGGTCACGTGACCTTCAGGGGGTCACGTGGGGGTCACTTTGGGGGTCACGTGACCTTGCGGTGACCTTGGGAGGGGTCACGTGACCTTGGGATGACCTTGGTTACGCCGACGGCGACGGCGACGCCGCTCAAACCGGAAACGGGCGCCTAAGAGCTGCGCTCTAAAAAAGTGAAAGCCGTTTACAAATCCCTGTAACGCCGAATTGGAGCGCAGCTCTTGAGGAGGAGGAGTGAAGGGTACTGAGGGGAGGGTAGACCCCTCCTCCTTCTCCTCCTCCTCCCCTCATTCTTTAATATGCTCCGGGGGGGGGTCACATGACCTCGGGGGGGGGGGGGGTGTCACGTGACTTCGGGGAGGGGGGTCACGTGACCTCGGGGAGGCGTGACATGGGGGTCACGTGACTTCGGGGAGGGGGTCACGTGACCTTGGGGAGGCGTGACATGGGGGTCACGTGACCTTGGGTGTCACATGGGGGTCACCTCAAGGTCACGTGACCCCCACGTGACCTCGGGGGGTCACGTGACCTCAGAGGGGTCACGTGACCTCAGGGGTCACGTGACCTGGGGGTCACGTGACCTTGAGATGACCTCGGGGGTCACGTGACCTTGGGGAGGAGACCACGTGACCTCGGGGGTCACGTGACTTTAGAGGGGTCACGTGACTTGGGGGTCACGTGACCTTGAGATGACCTTGGGAGGGGTCACGTGATCCCAAGACCCCACGTGACCCCCAAGGTCACGTGACCTTGGGGGTCACGTGACCTTCAGGGGGTCACGTGGTGTCACGTGACCTTGAGATGACCTTGGCATGACCTTGGTTACGCCGACGCCGACGCCGACGCCGCTCAAGCCGGGAACGGGCCCCTAAGAGCTGCGCTCTAAAAGTGTAAGCCGTTTACAACTCCCTGTAACGCCGAATAGGAGCGCAGCTCTTGAGGAGGAGGAGGGAGGGGTACTGAGAAGTAAGTAGACGCCTCCTCCTCCTTCTCCTCCTCCTCCCCTCATTCTTTAATATGCTCCGGGGGGTCACCTGACCTCGGGTGGAGGAGGTCACGTGACTTCGGGAGGCAAGGGGGGTCACGTGACCTCGGGGAGGGGGTCACGTGACCCTGGGGGTGACCTTGGGGGTCACGTGGCGGTCACCTTGGGGGGCCACGTGACCTTGAGGTGACATTGGGAGGGGTCACGTGACCTTGAGGTGACCTTGGGGTGACCTTGAGGTGACCTTGAGAGGGGTCACGTGACCTCGGGGGTCACGTGACCTTGGGGTGACCTTGGTTACGCCGGCGGCGACGCCGACGCCGCTCAAACCGGAAACGGGCGCCTAAGAGCTGCGCTCTAAAATGACCACCAGCAGAATATGACAATCTCACGTGCAAACCATGTATGTACGAGCGTGGTCCAGGAATCACACACTCCGACAGTAGTCGTGCGCCGACATTCGAGTGAATTAAAATGGCTCGCACGTGACGTTAGTTCGCCCTTCTTTCTGGTGGCCAGAGGCGCATCCTTAAAGCAGCGGAAGATAGCCTCTTGAGCCCCTTTTCTCCCATTACGTAATACTAAGTGACGTCAATCCAAGCTCTGTATACCGCCTCGTAAACCTCCAAGACGCTCGCAGGTGGAGCGCGCAGTGACTCTCTACCCCGGAGTGTGCGTGGCCGCCTTCTACGTGGAGCACGAGGACTCGACGGGCACGTGCGCCCCCAGGTTCTCCAGGGTCGCCGAGATCTCCAAGGCGCTCAAGCGAGGTGCGCTGAATTCTTCTCGGAATAATCCGTTGCAAAGGCCGAAATTCCCATTTAGATTTCCTGGGGCATTAACGGGCGTAGCGGCGGCGTTGGTCTCGGGAGGAAAACTATTCTTATAATTTCCTGCTGCGAGCTCCCATTTATGCCTATAGGATACTGGGATGAACTGTGATGTATATTTATTGCATAAAGCAGACGCTGGGGGGGGGGGGGGGGGGGGGCACCACATATTTTCGGAAAGGTCTATTGCGGAACCTCTCTTGCCTGCGCAATCGTCACAGCTCCACTTTTAATATGGCGCCCGGAACGCTTCTTTGACTGCTGTGTTCACACACATCCAAAAAAGTCGCCCCTCGATTTTCCGCCTAATGACGTCGCAGAAGTGTCATGCTGTCGCCGGCCGCGATCCTGGTGGCGTCACAGCTACGGCGGTGAATGTTGTGGACTCCTGTTCTGCTGCAAGTCGCTCCCCAGCTTGACAGTCCACCGTACGTTGGTCAGCCATGAGTTAGGACACCGTGACGACAGCGACACTCGCATATGCACGTGCTTTTTGCCCAAACTTCTACGACCAATCACCAGGATCGTGACAAGCGATATCATGACACTCCGGTTTTTGCACTTTGTAGACCAGTCGGGGAAGCGTTCCAGGCACAGCGTGCTTTTAACCCCCACCCTAACTAGGCAGTGGGGCGCGTTCTGAGCACGCGCAGAAGTTTTCTTTGCGCACCATCCAATCTTCGCCTCGGTGATAAGAGCTGGAGAAATGAACGGCATCAGGAGGAACTGAACGATATCCAGCTCTTTATGCAAGATGTGCTCGGTCAAGCGGTACCCTATCAAGGATATTTAGGTTAATCAAACAAATTACGCCATTAGCGTTAAATTTATCTTGACACCCGAGAGTTCGAAATCGTCTTCCTGCAGGGCCAGTTCTAAATCTGAAGGAACTCGTGCCTCCCAAGGCCCTAAACAACGGTTGGTTTCTTTCGTACCTCAAGAATTGTTATTTTCCTTCAGACACTGCTAACACTTGTCTCAACTTTTTTTTTTTTAACTTAGTTTCCTTGCCTCGAGGCCGGGTGGGCGGGGCCAAAAACGGTGAGCATTAAAAAGATGCCTCCCTAGGACGTAATAAATTTTCTCGCTTATGCCGTGCCGTGATTCGCAGACCAGGGTGCCGACCAGCCTCTGAACAGGACTCTGCGTCGTGAGTATTTCAATCTTTGCAACGTCAGACGAAGTGACGTCAGTCTGCGACAGAAAGGCAAGAGACTAAGGAACGGTGATCCCTACCCTTATTGTAGCGTGAAAGTAGATTCCACGGTAGCTAAAGTGGGAAACAAATAAACGGCTGTCAGAAAGCCTGTACCAAGAGTCGCTGTGTGGTGACTTGCTCATTACTACGACGCCACACGAGTCGGACTCCTGAACTGCCGCGTAATCATGGTAAATTGCTTGTGGTAAGACGTGCGACAAGGCTGTGGTATGACCACTTGACGCTAAATGCGAATCTTTCCGAGCGCTTCGCGACAACGGTCTCTGCCGCTGCCACAGTCCTCGCCTTGCCAGCCGCCATCTTGTCCGTGGGGCGCGTCACTCATCTCCGCCTCGCCTCGACTATCGGCACCTCCGATGGGCCCGCGTCGGGATGAGGCCTGGCCTTGACTCGAGTCTGTCAGGTATTCGTGCTAAATAGCTTTCGGTGAGATGTGGTGGTTCAGGAGTCAGACTTGCGTGTGGCGTCGTGGAAATGAGCAAACTACCACAACTGTAGTTCCAAAACTTCATCTCACGTGTTTCCACGTCAATCTTCGGGCAGCGGACTTTCGTAAAGCTGACTTCGTGGAGGCGCTTTCATGGAGCAACCAAGAAGCCAAAGAAAAACGTAGAGATAGAAGGATACGAAAGAAAAAAGAGAAGCAAAAAGGAATACGAATGCAACTTTAAAGGCCCTGTCACACTGAGGCAACACGACGGCAACAGTTACACAACAGGTTGTCCAACTGTCGGGCAACTTGTTGCTTTCTGCACGTACTGTTCGATAACCCTGTCACACCGGAGCAACAGTATAGCACAACATGAACGACAGTGAAAATGTCGCCTCGGTATGACAGCTTTCGGCTATAAAAATAACAGAAACTTGTATTAGACAACGTGTGTTGCCCTGATCGCTGGCTGTCCGAATTTCTGGCCGGCAACACAACACAAATAGCTTCGATGACAGAGCTAGTACTCTACCAACGTCTTTTTTTGGAGCTTGCTCAAATAAAGGCTTGAAAAACGTTATTTACCATTCATTAAGGCTGGCGTGCAGCTAAAATAATTTGATCAAGCTTTTACTCCTTAGTTGCAGAAAGCAATTATCGAAATGGTCACAGCTGTGGTCGCAAACGTTCAGACTGGTGTTAAATTAGAACTACCGAGAAACCAGCTCCCATTGCTGCTAGTGAAATAAAATGGCATGCCTACTTACGAGCTGATAAAGTATATTAAGAACAGTTTAGGAAAGCAAAGATTTAAACATCGAAGCATTAAAACGACCGCTCTGGTCATGATTGTTCATGCTTGGAACTTGGAAACAGCAGCTACCGGACACCTAAATTGATTAAAAATCCCCAAGGAGGTTTAAGAGAATGAAGCGATCACATAGCAGGCGGTAGGCAAATAAACAGCGTTTAAAAATATTTATTACACCAATTCTTATGAAGACCGATCGTGCCGATGTCACATTTTTAAGCACTGTCAGTCCAGCTCAACGCCACGCTACAAAAAACGCTTTGGTGTACTACCAGTGCTAAATTAATTTTACAGTAGAAATAGGAATTGCATGAAAGAAAGAACCGGACAAAAACACTTGATACAGTGGCATAAATTCCGAACATACATCAGCCATCTCACTTTCCTCTGTTAGGGTTATCTGTTTTGTCAGCGAATGAAGAACATTTTGATAAAATAAAGAGTAGAAAATATTTCCCGTGTCAAGTTTCCTAATCACAGCCACTGGTTGATGTCGTCCCGTAATAATTTCCGGCCCTTCTAAAGGGGTGTCCAAACAGGACACTACAAAACGCACGACTCCGACAAATCGTGAAAATTGAAGCGGACGCGTCCGCTTCAATTTTCACGATTTGTCGGAGTCGTGCGTTTTGTAGTGTCCTGTTTGGACACCCCTTAACGCACTAGCACTTCGTAGAGTCGCATTTCCGGCGGCGCTGAGCCGCACACGAACGAAGGAAAGCAATCAAGATGGCGAAGTGTTCTCCGTGTTGGCCCATCCGTCAGTGCGTTGTAACAAAGTGGTTGGACAACAAATCAGCCAACACGGTTTCCGGGCGAAAGCAACGTTGTCCGACTTTCGTTGTTGCATCAGTGCGGCAGGGCCTTTGCAGGAAATACCAAAGCGACATAACGGTAAACGCGCTTCAGAGTCAGACGTTCCAATACAAATCATTGTCGAAAACACTCTTGCTATTGTCGTGTCCATTTACACCCTCGGAAGTCTACAAAATCATCAGACAGTCAGTCACTAGTCTTGCTCGAATCAGTTTAATTAACCATGGAATGTAATGCAATCCGTATAGAACAGTCACGCAGTCTCAATGAGAAAGAGAGGGACGCTTTTTTGACACTGAAGCTGCGTGACCTTTGAACCATGATATCAGCTGTTCCCGAGGACCTTCCTGCTGATCTAACAGGATTACATCAGCAGGGAAGTCCTCAAGATCTCCCGTCTGCAGCACCAACTTCCTATTTTAGATAATGCTTCGGCGTCTTGTGAGCATCGAGCGTGGGTGCGCAGCCAAAGCGCGACGAAAGGCAACGAGCGCGTGCTGGAGCCTAGGCTGACGAAAAGAAGATCCGTCTTCGGTGCTTGGCGGCTGTCACGGTGCAGTAACTGCTCAGTGACGTCTCAGAGGCCGTGTTACAAAGTGCACTTGATCTCACATCCAAAGAGTCTTTACGCATTATTAAAATAAAATTAAGCAACTGATTACAAATTATTATTGCTCTTGGTTAAAACCTATTGGACTAGATTACATGATTACTTGAAAGGAAGAGTAATTGGCCGTTATTTCAAAAAGTAAGCATTAATTTTCCGATTACTTCCGATTTTAAAAACAGCATATCTTCCTGTTGGTTTGAAAATTAGCCTTTTTTATTGTCCATTATTGGAATCGAGTCGTGGGTTTGAATACTGCTCATTTTGTAAATCCATCACTTTTGGTAGACCGTCCCCTTTTCGGAGACCCGGTTCGAATACTCCTAAGTATGAAGGTTGTGGAAACAAAGGGCGCCACTAGGAAGGGGAGGCGAAAATAGTTACAGTTACTATTATTTGATTACTTTCAAAAGTGATCAGGCTACTCTTGTGATTACTTCATAATAAATATAATACAATTATTATATTAATAAAAAAGATTGATTACCCGAAATTTCATTACGTGTTATCTGTGCCGTATCTGCTGCGGAGTAAATGTTTTTGTACTTTGGCGTTCAAAAATCTACTAGCGTCTAGCGTCGCTCTGTTAGTATTGTCACGTGATATGACCCGGGAGTGTGGCTCAGATATACTCGAGTAAAAATTGGAACACAACCAAAGCTTACGAAATCGCACCGCATTGTCACGGTGTTGTTTTGATATGGAGAATAATTTTATCGCCCGCTGGAGTTCCTTTCAAGACGAGACCTATGCGTAATCTTTCGTATTCCAGAGCTCGCGAACCTCGTTACACCACGTGCAGGTTGGCAGATATGAGAGCATCAAAATCCTAACGGTTGTTGGCACTGCAGCACACAACCTCATCTGCATCATGTCCGAGAACACCAACGAGAGGGAACAGTACCCCGAGAAGCTTTGCGACTTCGTGGTCTACATGGACCTGAGTTACAACGGCCAGGAAGACAAACTAGTCCCCAAGGGCAACGGTAAGTGCACGGGAAATTATTTTTCCGGAATGGAAGTTATATCGCGGGCCGAGACAGTGCGACTCGGAAAGGAATCTCTCAATGGTTCGGAGTGGCGGTGTGAATAATCTTCGGGGCTTTATCGGATGTTCTGAAGAAGCCAAGACCCTCAGCAAAACGCCTGATTCCATTCTGGGGCTTCCATGAAGTTACTTTTATAGCGCAGCTCTAAAACGCCCGTTTCCGCGTATAGCGACATCGGCATCGCCGTCGTCGTCGGCGTAACCGCCCCGATAAATTTAGCGGGAAATGGAATTGGTGTTGAGTTTCAAGTGACGTCAATTTCCCCACTAACTCTAGCGGAGAAACTGAACTTGTTCATGGGTGTCGTGACACAAAGTCATGTGACATCATTTTTTCCGCTAAATTTAGCGGGGCAACTGAATAGGTGTTGAGGTCACGAGACGTCAATTTTCCAGCTAAATTAAACGGGGAAACTGTGGGAGGATCGGAGGGTACGGAGGAGAATGAAAGAGTACTCAGGAGGAGGAAGGCAGGGTACAGAGGAGGAAAGGAGAGGGGGAGTAGGAGTAGGAAAGGAGAAGGGGCAGGTGGAAAGGAGCGGAGGAGGAGGACAAGTGCTGATTGTTGGGCGAGTTGGTATTGTACGTGAGAAAACATGATTTCACTTTAAGACAAGGACAGAGGAAGAACAGACACTACAGAGGAAGAGGGGACGAGGACGTGAGGAAGAGAGGGGGAGGGGCGTGCTCTCCCCCCCTCCCCTTCAAGAGCTGCGCTCTAATTTTGCATTAAAGAGATTTGTAAACGTCTCACTTTTTCATGCTCTAGATTTAAAATATACTCTGCTTCACCTTACTATATACAGGCCACCGAAGCCAGTCTTATTCCGTATGAATGTCGTGTGACCTTAGAGAGGTGCGCAGCGACGCGAGGGTTGCGTAATCACGTAATAAGCTCCCAGCGCTGGATTGGCTGGACTACGGTCCATCGCTAGGTAAAACGCAGTATCCAGAGCGTAAGTTTGTCTGCTTCTTGCGCAGGAGATGCGTTGACGTCAGAACGACGCCGAGTTCTGATTGGCTTTGATTAGAAAGATAGTAGGTAGACCTCAATGTTAGATGCCTTGAGGTCTACACATTTTTTTTTCAATCAGCCAATAAGAGTTTCGCGTTTTGGCATCATCGCAACCGCTGTGCAAGAGGCAGACGAACTTGCACTCCACATTGAGAGGAAGATCCAATCGTCGCGTCCCTAGCAGCTAAGTTGACAGCTAAGTTGACAGCTAAGCCCATGAGGAAAACCTAAATTGTTTGTTTGTGTTAGGTGACGCAGCACTCGGTAAATGTAACCGAACGCTGACTCAGCACTCCTGTCCATTCTATATCCTATATGCTCTAGATCAGGGGTGGCCAAGCTGCGTCTGCGAGCCGCATGCGGCTCCTCGCGTGTTAAAGTGCGACTCGCTGTTCCCTCTCCTAACTACCCCCCCTCCCCCTCAAACACACACACACACACACACTCCCCCGCCTCCCTCCCGCGGCCACACGAGCACTTCCACAAAAAGAGAAATGGAAGGCGTTTTAAATCGAAAGAGAGGTTGCGGTTTGGTAGTCTTCTGCTACTGCTACCTTACGTACAGTAGGACTGCTGTTGACTCGGATAAATTGAAAGTAGTTTGAGTTTCGTCTATTGCTCTAAACCAGAGTCTGACCCCCCTTCCCCTGTGGCTCTTGGTGGTTTCGTGGATATGTTTGCCGCCCTCAGGCTGGGTCATCTCTGGCCATCCCTGCTCTAGATAGATGACGCAAGGAATCCAGTCCATAGAGCTATTATAATGTACGCTAGAGGTTCAAGTGGCGCTAGTGTGCTGACGCAAATTGAAGCAGACAGCAACCAGTCGAAAATTGACTTCCGGTAATGCATTGCTATGGGAAAAAGTGAGTTGATTTTCTCCCTGCGCTCGATCATAAGAGCAAATATTCCAAATAATTCATACGTAATAGGTAGCTTGGAACATTTCTCAGTCAGGCTGACGAAATAATTGGTCAGTTGCGGCGTTTTTCTTTCAAATTCATTGCATTAAAAAAGGTGCTAAAACGGCTTCGTACGTGTATTTATGTGTACCGTTGGACACTGTTCGCGCGAACACGACGTCGGTGCTTTTCAGCGTGGGAGATATACGTGCCAAACGAATGAAGAACATCTGAAAATTAAGGGAGACGGCAAGAACTATGGAGTAACATAGGATCAGTAACTACCCGTGCATGTAGATCAAAATAAATTGAAGATCACGTAATCTATTCTGACTTTAAATAAGTAAGTACCGCTTTATTCTTTCCGCTCTGAGCGAAGCTGCTTGTTCTACGTTCAAAATATCACCCGCACGCTCAAAATCTCTGAGAACAAGTGCCCGATAAAAGCTGCCCGGCAGAGAAAACAATATGAAGAGACACCTTTCATAGCCCACGGACATTATTCTCTACGTTTTGAATGTTTTTATTCACTCATGCACGGCATGGTCATTTTCATATGATGACAGGACTGGCATATTATCAATATATTAGCGTCACAGGAATGCTGGCGAGCCTTGAACACACTCTATATTTCTTTTGATTGTAATTTTGCTTTGAATCGTTGATTGTTTTTACACACCTGCTGCGGAACACACGTTTGGGACAGAAATGTAGCGAAGTTAAACATTGTTCACTGATAAAGAACAATGTGCCAACTAAAGCAATTACACCTTTACAGTGTTAATCAAGGTACATACTATTCGGTACTACCCAAATAACCAAAGTGTTCCGTGTTATTTTTCGACGAAGAGGCAAAATGCACGCGCGTTTTCCCATAGGAATGCACAGGAGCACCGCAAAAGTAGACTGGTTGCTGTCTGGTTCAATTTGCGTCACGGAAGTCGCATAGACAGTAGCGCCAGTTGAGCCTCTAGCGTACATTATAATAACTCTATGATCCAGTCCATGGGCCTTGTGTTGGGTAAACACCGAGCTCCGTGGTAACAAGCCTGGACAAGGCGTTCCCCTATAGCTCAATCTCCCCTCCTGTGCCATCGCAGACAATATAAGCTGAAATGGCCTTTTTATTCTTCTTTGACCTACCTGCTAGTTTTTGAGAAAGTTGTAATCTGAAAATGCAAAGTTGGGGTGTCATTCTTTGCACTACTTGTCAAATTAAAAGATAATAGAGCTCGCGAGGGGACTGCAGACGCCAAAAAAGGCCGCATCAGGTATTTCAGTTCATATTGTCCGCGGATGTACATATCGATCCATAAGAAAAGAACATTCTTTGCATTTTTTTTTCTTTGTATGACGCAGGTCTTTCCCTTTTATGTTTTCTCTCAAGAATGTCCCCACTTCGCCGCCTCTTTGTGGTGTTCAATTACAACGTCAGTGGCTGAGAACCGGGTTTTCCGCGATATACTAGAAGATGGGTAGATCCACCTGGTCCACACAACGGACCAAGAGTGCCTCGCTCATCGCAGGCTCCGGGTTCGCTCTGTTCACATCGCTGGTGCAGCAGCGAGCGGGCAACCACCTGGTGGCCGTCAGTCACGACGACATCCGTGAGTGCATGGACAAGTGGAAGGACCCGATGTCCCTGTCCCATTTCGTGGTCACCACCACGGCCTGGATCATCAAGAACAAATTCGACGGTCTGGCCTTTCTCGACCTCCTGGTCATCACGGACCAGATGCCGGCCATCTTGAAGATGCTCCAGGTACTGACACTAGCCTATGTTTGCGCCACCACTATCTTCGGGTGTAGAGCATCATACTGTTGTTGCATGTTGCCAGGAGGGATGCATCGTGACTCGTCGACGCACAACAGACACACACCGCCAAAATTTATACGCTATATTTTTAGAGAAGTTCTTTCGTGATAGCCGTTATTGGAATATATATATTTTTTCTTTTATTCTTTGCTTCGAAGTGATTTTTACTTTACCGACTAGTGTAGGCGCTTTTTTAGTTTAATTTTGTTAGTGTGGTCGAAATTGACAGATTCATGCTCCCGCGTTCGAGGAAGCTATAAAGAGCCTTTAATGTGAAATTAATGAATACCAAACTTATCGGTTTAAGTTTATTCCTTAGGTACATCGAACAAACCAAACTAAAGCGTGGTTGTTTCTTTTTCTTGTGTTTTGCTGTTCCCAGCGGTACACCGTGGTATTTTCTGTACTCAGAAGCTCGCCATTTCTTTGCTGCAAACGCGTTATTCAGCCCGCCGTGTGCATTGTTCGGGTTTGGGTCCTCCCGTACACATTGCAGCTGCCTATCTGCGGGCTGTTCTTTTTTTAATCCACCTTTGGTGCGTGCGTGCGTGCGTGCGTGCGTGCGTGCTTGCGTGCGTGCCTGTGTGTGTGTGTGTATCTGTGTGTGCTTAATTGGGTGAACGATCTGTGTGAGAGAAGAGAGGAGAATTAGTATGTAACAGGGGAGGAGTTTTAGCACACCAAAATATTCGGTCATAACGACTCAGCCATATCGAGGGGTTAAGGTACGAATCGCGTCTCTTTCCCGTCCAGAAATTCCACGAGGCCTTCAAGGAGAACGGTTCACGGACGCTGCTGCTCATGTTCGGCATGCAGGTGAAAGCCTTCAAGTCCTCAGTAGAAGAATTCCTGGCCAACCTGCAACACATTTCCAAGTGCGTCTCGTCCACCTCGGTAGTGTCGGCAAGATTTTAACACAAAATGTGTTTTATGAGTCGTTTTCCATGATACAATCGTCATGGACGAGCTTTATAACCAGCGTCATGGACGAGTGACACGCTGAGAGCGTTACAGACGTGGAAGTCGTATACTATAACCACTCAACTACAAGCAGTTTTTTTTTATATTACTGTGCTATTAGCAATTATACACAGTGAACGCTGGAGAGGAGGCGATTCTATCCTCGCCTCCTTTCCAGCGTTCTTTTTGTTAAGGTGAAAATAGCAGAGCGTTTTGAGGCAGGAGCTTGTGCCGCACTCTTAACCTGCAACAGACTATAGTTGAGGAAGCCCATTTCTTTCGGCAATGCAACGTTACCTGGGTTACCAACTCTGTTTTACAAAATGCAATGTATATTGAAAGGAAATGTCCAAAACAAACATTCTAACTATAAGAACAAACTTCTTGCGTTCAAACTGCTCTTTTCTTTTTAGTTATAATAGGACAAAATTTAAGCTGCAACAAATCTGGATATAAAACGAAAACGTTGAAACTCGATGTGCGCCTCAGACAACGCTGCAACTCAAGTTTCGAGCATTTCATGACTGTACGCCGTCCTCGCTTCCCTGTCGTCACTAAGAGCTTCGTAATTTCTCTGTCGTCGAAGGCTTTCGTCATTTTGAGTTTGCTTGCAGTGGAAAGCCCATACTCGACACCTTCGTTGGTCTACTACGCTGCGTGCATGACTGGAGCGATGTTTAGCGAGTTGAGCTCTTTTGCTGCTATAGCCACTGACAGGATTAGAACGTCAGGGAGTTTCTTCAATGGTTTCGCCTTCGGCACGAGCCAACGTTACTAAAACACTCAGTTGGGAAACTCGCCGTCGAAACCTGGGCCGCTGGCATCCACCGAGACCGAGCCAAATACGACAACAGCGCCACTCTTTATCATTTGTCTGTACTGTGGTCACTTTGAGCTTTTAGAAAGCTTGTTTTTGCGTAAAGACAAACGGAAAAGACTCTTTTTGTATGAAATTTATTGGAGTTCAGTACAAAATGAAGGACGCGTGATATTTTTAAAATCTTTTGTTTGCAAGGTTTTGCGGCACAATTAATATTGTTTCTATACAACCATGCCTCAGCGGTGCTTTCAGGTAGCGCGTCCCGACCTAGGTGCATTTTAACTTCGGTAGTAAGACTCGGCGCGTCCGCTGGAGAGACGGGGGTGGCACCCCTGTAACCTCTTCCGCTGTACCTGTTTCGGCGCCGAAGTGGCCGATTGAAGCCAAAGTAGACACCACGTGCAGTTCCTCGAGTGGCCGCTGCGGGAGAAATGGCGGCTTTGTGTTCGCCATTAGCTCGGTGCTCGGAGACAGATTGGGGCCACTTTTTCAGAGCAGTCTCTATGGCAGTTTCCCAACTGAGTGGTTTAGTAACGCTGGCACGAGCTACCTACCTTTGCTAACGCTTGGGGATCTTGTGAACCTCGAGCAAATGCACGCGCAGCCAACGACGAAACCACGGCCTCACACTGACAAAGCCTGGCAGATCGCCGCGAGAAGCGGCCGCCGAAATGGAAAAGGTGGAGCGGCACACAACGGGTGAGAGGAGAGCCACGTGACTGGCGCCCCACTGCTGCGAGACGCCGAAACACACTTCTTCCGAGCGAACAAGCGTGTTTCGGGTCCTCGCCGCTGCAAAAGCTATGCGCTGACGTCCAGGTTCTCCAAGAAATGGCTCTTTGATGCTCTGTGCCACCAGATCCTCGCGCTCCAAATCTGAGACCGGGCACTCTATGGCTCCGTCGTCAAAATGCCAGGCTTTGTGAGTATAGAGGGGGCTATGGACGAAATGCAAAGAGCGCGTGCTGGAAGCTGGGCGTCAGAAAGAGACAGCCAGTCGTTTTCGTCCTGTCAGTGATTATATAGTTGATTCTTTCCTACATTTCGGTCAGGGTGGTGGACTACACAATTCTGGAGACTCACCACTCCCGTCCAGCGCCGACGTGCAATTTGCTGATGCCCAACTCGTTCCGCGAGTACACCGACTTTGCTGACACCCTGCCCATCGTGAGTCAATCACCCGTGACCGGCGTGCAGGTCGAACTATACAGCGCCTGGAACACCTTTCCGACTCTGGGTCTGTATGTAGCGTTCACCCTTCGCCATCGGGTTCCGCTCGAGAAAAGGTAAAACGAAATGTCACGAGAGCCGCCGGGGAAAGGTTGGTTCACATAGCACCTTTTCCTTAGGTTTTCTTACCTTACGTGTTAGTCACGGAAACGTTCGTGTCTCGAATGTCGCGTGGCAGGCTATCTCCTTAAACTGGTAGCCACGTCTAATATAAAGCTCAAATGTCCCAGTGATTTGTACGTAAGCCTTCGTAACGTAACGTAGCATAAGAAAACAGGGCTGTGTGAACCAGCTTTAATGTTCAGGTCCTAGAACCCAAGCAACTCCGCGGCGAAAAAGGCGAGCGAACGCCAGCGCTGCCACGTTTCAACCCTAGCTGCCGAAAGTTTTTTATGCGTTAGAACGCTCGTTTTGACGAAAGCCCGGCGGTGTCTTTCGTTTGTCATTTGTCGCTTGCGACGCTCTCATTCGTCCGAAGCGCTGACGTGGGCACGTGTCGACCTCTCCCTTTCTCCCCGGCGCTGACAAACTGACAGACACCAATAGTGAGGAATGGGCTAGTTGGTACATCGTTCCTTCTGACAAAAGCCCCACAAAACAAGGACTTAAAGTAAGAGACACAGCACAAGCGCTTTTGCTGTGTCTCTTATTTTATGCCCTTGTCTTGTAGCGCTTTTGTCAAAATGACGAACACCGCCAGTTTTATTTTTTTTTTTCCTGTTTTGTGGTTTAGACAAGCAGTGGAGTGAGACACAACCGAACAATGATGTCTGCGGTACTCATGCTGTGCTATCTGTGTCATCATCAGTGTCGCGTCGGCTTCCGGCCGGTGCCATTTTGTTTCTCCGTGTGCATAACGCATGCTTTCATTGCTTTCTGAATCGACGAACTTGCGCATGTTGGGTTGTGTAGATTAAGTGCCATGGGCGGTGACGTTGCAAACATTCAAACGGGGTATAGTAGTGAGTTCTGTAATAGCGTAACGCAAGCGTACCGCGTTTGCAAAAATTAGATATGCTCACATAGCGACGTTTTCGTCGCTATAGGTGAACACGTCGCTTCTTCTCATCATAGGTTGACTATTGTTCGTCTCACCTTAATACGAACTGTCACAATTGCTGAAAGAACGAGCGCGTAGTTTTAGCTTGTGCTCCCGTTGAACGAGCGTTCGTGCAGTCGAAGGGCTAGTTAAGGCTAAAAGCTCGCACTTGCAGATTTCTTTTCAACCGTTTCCTAATGCCCGACTTACATGACGCGATATTGCTTGCGAATTTCCAGCTGCGGTGTCGGGCACCATATCTTCCCCGGGGCTTTTTTTGCCGCATGAGCGACGTCGCAACTGCGAAATTGCAAATAAAATCGCACCATTTGAATCAGGCTTACTTCGCATGGTGCGAAATTGCATACGATTACGCAGCTGCAACGTCGGCCACCGCAGCTTCCAACACGTTTTTTTTCTCGTTTTTTTTTTCTGTTGTTGTTGTCGTTGTCGTTGTTTTGCCGCACAAAAAGCGACATGGGAACTGCGAAATAGTAAGTAAAATCGCATCGCATGAATCAGGCATCTGGACAACTTTCTCTGGCTAAATGTTTTCACAAATGTCAGGTATCGGTTCAGGGTCTATGGGCCCCACGCAGTCCATGGGCCCCACTGCGTGGGGCCCATGGACTGCGTGGGGCCCATAGACCCCCCCTCATCTAAAGGCTACAAATACGCTGTCTGTATTGTTGATGTGTGTACCTGGTGGCCGGAAGTCATATGCATGCGATCTCTCACAGCCAAAGCAACCTGCGATGCCTTACTGGAAGTGTTTTCTCGAATGGGTACCCCAGAGGTTATTTCTTCTGATCAAGGTAGCAACTTTACACCCGGATTGACACGAGAACTGATGTCTCGGCTCGGGGTTTCTCCAAGGTTTTCTACACCGGGTCATCCAGAGAGTAATGGTTTGGTAGAACGATGGAACCAGACTTTCAAGGGAATGTTGAGACAGGTAATTGCTGAACATGGGAGAGGATGGGACAGGTATGTACCCTGCCTGCTGTGGGCATACCGAGAAGTACCAAGCGAGACGACAGGTGTGTCGCCATTCGAGTTAATGTATGGTCGTGTCCCTAGTGGTCCTCTGGCTATTCTTAGAAAATCCTGGACGGGAGAATGGACCCTCCCAGTGACGTTAAATCAAGGCGCAGAAAAATATCTCCTGGACCTGAGGAGGCAGATGATGAGTCTAGCAAAAATAGCGGACGAACGAGCACAGGGACAGCAACGGGCATATGCCACACAGTACAACCTAAGGGCAGTGCCAAAGTCATCTCAAAAAGGAGAAGCGGTGCTAATGTTAAACACAGAAGCTACAAACAAAATGGAGGCCAGGTGGGTGGGTCCGATAACGATTGTTGAACGGAAAAGGGACAACAGCTACGTTGTTGAGCTAAAGGGAGGACAGAGGAAGTGGGTACATGCAAACAAGTTGCGTCCCTACTATGCAAGAACAAACGCTGTGGGGGTGATTTTTGAAGATCGGGACTTTGGGAGCGTGGAGGAGACCCCATGTGACGAAAAAAAAGATAGCACGGTATGTCAGACGGGTATCCAGCTGACGAACTTGAGTGAGGGACAGAGGCAACAGGTACTCAACTTGATAAAAGAACGGAAAGCGGCATTTTCAAATACGCCAGGAAGGAGCGCGGTGGGACGGCACAAAATAACGCTGATCGAAAATGCTACAATGAAAAGGATCTATCCCTACCGGGTCCCCATGAAACTTCGAGAAGAAGTAGATCGTCAGATACAACAATTGATAGGTTGGGGTCTGATCTACCCAACAGAGTCCAGTTTTGCACATCCGGTTGTATGTGTCGCTAAGAAGGACGGGAAAGTTAGGTTGTGTATAGATTATAGACAATTAAACTCGGTAACTGAAACGGACGTCTTTCCAATGCAAAACGTAAAAGAACTGTTGTGGTGCGTAGCAAAAGCCCAATTCATCTCGGTCTTGGACCTAACCAGAGGGTACTGGCAAATCAAAATGGAAAAAAAGTCTCAGCACTGTACCGCGTTCGTAACCGATCAAGGCCAGTACGCGTGGACTGTAATGCCATATGGGCTTAAAAATTCAGCAGCGACGTTCCAAAGAACAATGAACGAGGTGTTAAGACCTCATGCAATGTATGCCTGCGCATGCATTGATGACATCGCAGTTTTTTCTAGCAGTTGGCAAGAACATGTGGAACAGCTTGGCAAGGTGCTAGCCACATTAGAAGCTTGCGGGCTTACAATCAACCTGGCGAAATGTCGGTTCGGACAAGGCAGAGTAAAGTACCTAGGCCATGAAATAGGCTCTGGATTTCACGCACCAGACCCAGAAAGGGTTGCCGCGATTCAGAACTTAAGACGGCCAGAGAACAAAAAACAGTTGAGGAGTCTCTTAGGATTGATTAACTATTATCGAGATTATATTGAAGGGTATTCAGAGATAGTGCTTCCACTGACAGTGTTGACGAGAAAGCAAGTACCGAATGCACTCCTATGGGGTGAAAAAGAACAAGACTCGTTTGAAACGGTGAAGAGGAAATTGATAGAATTGCCGAAACTTGCAGCCCCATCGTTGAAGCGGAGGTTTATTTTGTCGACAGACGCGTCGGAGAAAGCGGTCGCCGCATGCTTATCGCAGAAGAGCGACGGCGGGAGAGAACTGCCAGTTGCGTTCTTGAGCCGAAAGTTGAATGAGACACAGAGTAGGTGGTCAACAATCGAGAGAGAAGCATTTGCAATTGTATGGGCACTAGAACAGTTGGAAACTTGGTTGTTCGGATCGGAAGTTTTGGTTCGCTCTGATCACAATCCATTGCGGTACGTAGGAACGTCGTCGCCAAACAGCGCACGATTAACACGCTGGGCATTGTCCCTGCAAAAGTATAATTTACAGATAGAACATGGGAAGGGGACCAAAAATGTGCCGGCAGACGCCCTATCTCGACTGGGTCGGGCCTGAGCAAATTGGGGGTGTCGCGAGACGAAACAGTCGGGTTAACCAGTCCACACCTCTATCGTCACTCAATGCGCCTTGCTGGAAAAAAAAAAAAAAAGAGTGCAAAGTGACGCGGTTTTTGTAACTATCGTTCATTTTTTCCGGCATTCGGGTCTCTGCTACGATATGTATTGTATTTGTGGAAAAAAAAAAGTGTGAAGTAATTTTGTCTTTGTAACTATTGTTTATTTTCCTCGTCATTCGGGTGCCTTCTACTATGTGTTGTAATTTGTGTTCATGCAGGGTATGTAGGCCTTTGTGATTATAAGGTGTAAAGGAAATAAAAAAAAGGGTTTCAGATGAAGGATACACATGTCATGCCACGCTTAGGTGTGCATGACTGGTAGGTGTGCTATCAGTGGTTATCAGAAGCGAGCTCAAGTGGTCACGAGGGTGAGGTTGATAGCGGATGGAACAGGCTGATAAAGAGCGGGAAAAAGCGTGTTTGGGTAGGTTGGATCCGGGCGTGGTGACGGAAGGTTGTATCTCGACACGACGGGAAGGAATAAATCATCTGAAGCTATTTGGACAAGTGTCTTCACTGCGTGGACTGCACTGCACTGGACCCCGTGTTGCATTCCCTTCCAGTCTCTGTCGCTCGGCCGGCTTACTGAGCCTTTTCCCACTGTCTCCCTTTAATTTATTACTTTCATCATAGACCTGTGCCCACTTTGCTATACCAGCAGGCCGTAACCAGTCATCTCCTTCGCGAGGAGTAACAAAAGCCTGAGCATCTTCGCTCAATATCTCCTTCACTCTGTCCGCAATTAACAACTCTTTCAAGTCATCAAAGTTCTCGACCTTTCTGCTACGAACGTAATAGTCAAGGTAGCCACGCACTCTTTCCGCCAACTGTGTCCAGGGCTCATTTTCCTTTTTCTTCGCGTTTGTGAACAGCCTTCGGTATTCATTAGGGGACAGTTGCAAAAGTTCAAGCACCTTTGTTTTTACCTCCGGATACTGCAAGAATCCGAGAGTTTCGCCGTCCCTTGCTATGTGCCTAACTCTCTCCGATAAATACGGGAGTAGTACCATTGTTTGTACATTTTTGGGAACCTTAAAGGCCTTCCACACGCTCTCGACGGTATCAAACCATCCCGGCACCATTTCCTCTTCGCTCGGTATGCGACTAAGAACGTTCGCAAGCATCTTAGAGAACTGCATAATCTCTGTCGCTAGCTCTTTTGGTTGGTCCCTCTGATCTTTTTCCGTTGCCGAGGTCTGTTTCAGCCGTGCCATTTCCAACTCTAACTGTATTCGCTCTATTCTTTTTTCCTCAAGCCGTAGTTGCAGCTCGGCATGTTCTTTCATTCTCTCGTCCCCCAATGCCCCACCGACAGCCCCATTCCCGTCTAGATCGTCGTCACTCATTTTTTGTTCTGCTTTAGCCTTTGCACGAGTTATCATCAGCCACACCCTCAATCACCACTCAATGCCTCTTACCTTCACAGACGCTCTCCAATCGGGCGGCAGGCTGCACCCCAGGCTTTCGGACACTCTGCTACCAGTTGCTCCGGCTGTGGTGGGTTCCTCAGGTGCTACTCGCGAGTACTGTTCACTGTCCTAACAAGATGCGACCCCGAGATGTCCCCTCACCAGCCCTCTTCACTTCACCACTTGCTCCTCTTCATGTCGTTGTCCCCGCCCCTCCCCCTTCTTTTGATTTTGCAGTTCTTCCTTGTCTCCTGGCTGTCGCCGTTGCTCAGTCAGGCTGTGACGTTTCGTAGGCAGCCGCTCTGTTCACCTTGCAGTTCTTCCTTGTCTCCTGGCTGTCGCCGTTGCTCAGTCAGCTGTCGCCGTTGCTCAGTTTTTTGTTTTTTTTTCCAGCGTAGATGCCTCGGTTGAAGTCTCCACTTTCAAGAAGGCGCTTCGGTGACGTTTCGCCGAAAGCTCCCCAGCTTCCACTTTTTGCAGCATGGGCGGTTTGGTTGAAGTTTCACGGGGTTGCTTGCCGGGTTTCCACTTTCTGCGGCGTGAACCCTTCAGTTGGCGTTTCCGCGGGTGTCCTGATCCGTGGGCCGGTGGTCCGATGTGGGCATTTCGACGTATGCTTGAATGCTGCGTTTCCTCGCGATTCTTTTCCGTTTTGTCGACTGCGCCAGTGAAGACACTTGTCCAAATAGCTTCAGATGATTTATTCCTTCCCGTCGTGTCGAGATACAACCTTCCGTCACCACGCCCGGATCCAACCTACCCAAACACGCTTTTTCCCGCTCTTTATCAGCCTGTTCCATCCGCTATCAACCTCACCCTCGTGACCACTTGAGCTCGCTTCTGATAACCACTGATAGCACACCTACCAGTCATGCACACCTAAGCGTGGCATGACAGTCGCCATGAGTAGAGTTTCTGTTTATAAGGTCCCGTATAGAGTTGCATGTTCATCCATCTTAAAATCGAAATTTATGCGGAAAAGCCACTCTTCCCGCTTGCTGAAGCCTTATCGTCGGCAGTGCAAGTGGATAAGCCCCTCGGGTCCGCATGCGGTGGTACACTCATGTCGCCGTGGTTCCTCGTGTGAATTCCGCGTCAGTCTCTGATGTCAGCCCCCTGATATCCATGTTTTCGGGGGACAGCATGGTCAAAAACGTGTCCAAATTGGCGGGAATTGGGTAAGAGGTCATTATTGTACCACCGCCTGTTTTCGTTGTCGTATCAATGATCAGGTGGATGATATATGGATGATATTGGCCTTTAAATGGATGATAAACGCCTCAAGCAAAATCAAAGAACATGAGCACAGTTGGCAAGTGGCTAGTTAGCGGCTAATTGAGTGGCGGAGCGACCGTAGCTGCCGTGGCGGAGGCTTTCCTGCACAGCACTGGATTTTTGTTTGTCACGTGATTTAATCCGGCTAATAGCGGCGTGGCGGCGCATGGAAACGCGAATAGCGGCGGGGGCGCGAAACTCTTGCTTCCCTACGAGGTGCCTATCATAAACTCTAGGCATGAGCGAGCGCGAGAACTTATTTTTTTTTAAGAAATATCCCCATCAAACCAGCAAGGCGCGTGATCCCGATACGTTGTCACGTGCTTTACTCCGACGCGCTTGTTGGCTGATCGGTGCAGTAGCCTTCGCCGTTGGGCAAGTTATGGTGAAACTGTAGCTTTAAATGTGCCCCGTCTCAGAAAGCGGTATCGTGCAGATAACGGCGCTCGACTGGGCCAAGCAGCTGCAGAGCCTGGTCGTGCCTCCGCCCAACGTGTGCTTCTCGCTCAACCTTGCCGCTCTCCACTACGAACTCAAGTCCAAGTCCATTCAAATCGGGGCTCCGTGCCAGAGCGAGACGCTCGTGCGCTACAACCAGGTACAGCATGCAGGGGGTGAGGGGGGCACGCACGAGATGTCAGTTTTAGCACTATTTATAGCTCATCGTTAAATTCCTAAGGAATTTCTACTTCCCTCGTGGAAACGGCTATGGTAACACAAAGTGTGATGCAGTGCCGAAATATGCTACGTTCATCCCTAAGCTACGGTGGGACGTACGCCTCCCTTTCATCACCAGACCTCGCTCTCTGAGTGTGACCACGTGGCGAAAGACAGGCGAACGACTAATTCAGTGATCACTTAGCTTCTACCCCACTCACAGCCCCTTTATGTGTTTGTCTTTGCCTTGCAAGTACTATAGCGTCGAATGCTCCAAAGCAGGAGGCCCGCGCCTTGTCCAGCTCTTGGAAGCAAATGGCGGCGCGGCACTCGCTCGAGTCACCTGTCTTTGCGCGTTCGCACCGACAATGGTCGTCAGTACGGGGACAAAACGCGAAGCGTGCATTTTATCGATGGGCTTTAAGCTATATACATGCGAGCGTAGTGCCGCAGTTTCTGCCGCCGCGGCGACTCCGTGGAGCGTAGATTCGGAAACACTCGTGGAGTAAGTCCCGCGCGTGCTCTGGTTGCCATTTGTTTTAGTTTACTGGTGCAGGCGCCAACACGTACAGCGCGTGTAACTTCGTACTCGGAGCTTGCTTTTTTGAGACGATGCAAGTTATAAGTAATTAGAGTGTCGAACCGAAATTTATATTGGTTCGGTTCGGGTTCTGGTTCGGGTTCACGGCTTTCGGTCCAGTTCCGGCTCAGTTCCCGGGAGCCAAAATAACAATTCGAACCGGTTCGAATCAGTTTTAACCGGTTTAAACCGCTAGATTGAGATTATATTTTTCACATTGCTCTGGTAATAGATATACTATTTCCGGCCTGAAACGATTCACTATATAGTTGTTTTCTTTCTATCGTTCATACAACCCACTTTTATTGTCTTGTAACAAAAATAGGAAATTCCGTTAATTAATTTCGATACGACGGTAAAAAAAAATCTAGATTAACATAGAAAACGCCGTGTTTATACGACTCAACGTGCCTTTGTTTACCAGAGTCACATATATTGTGCCTGAATCAAAATGTTTTCGCGATGTGTGGTATAGTCGCCTAAAATACCCGTGATTAGTACAATTTTGCGTTGCAATATTAAAAGTTGAATCGTAATTGTGCCCTTGAACTAAGGAATTAATTACAGTGCTTAAAATCATGGAATGGGTACCTCGTCGCCATATATATCGTGAACTATTGTTTACAAAGTACGTTTCACAATATATATATGATGACAACACAACTGAGCTTAAAGCAATACAATTTTTCAAAATGTCACGAAAGCTTTAGAAGAAACCATTTCAGTACACGATGGGTCAGGAACGCATAGCTATCTTTCATACAATTTGGCGTGCATTTACTTATGACGTATATCTTTAAGGTGATCGGTCCTTCTTTTATGTTGTCACATCTTCAATCAGTAATTAAATATATTTTTCACCAATAAATTTGACTCTACGAAGTTCGCATAACCGCTTGAGGCCGGCACGGGAGGGTGATACTCGAAAATACGCCAGCTGTTGAGTCGGCGGAAACCTGTTCTTTGTTCGCTGTATGGCAGTGTGAAAAACCCGCTTGCAGGGTATTCTAAAAAAGGACTGTGTGCTCACATGATAGATGGGAAGAAAAATACAGAAAATGGGTAGAGAAAGACAGCTAGTATTTTTTTTTCTAAATAATCAGATATACATCGCCTTACTCCAAGAAAAAAAAATACTTAGTGATGACCGCAATTATATTCCTAATTGAACGTAAATAGCGCGAAGGAAAGACGAAGATTCTTCAAATTCTAAAATAAATCACGTTCGGGCATCAACTTGCATGAGCTCCAAACTTCGCGAAAAACTGCCTCGGGAGACAAATGTTGTATTCGGTTTTACGTGCACTTGTTTTAGGCTCTCACTTTACAACTCTGTGCTTTATCAGTCATGCGCTCTAACATTTATTAGTCTGCCGTATATGATCGCGAGACTACTATATATACTGCACAACTTTACATGAGATGTTAGCATATCAGGCCGCCAAAGAGCGCGCGGCATTGCGCAATGTAAGGGGGGAGAGACGTTTTATTATACCACGGCTACGCCAAGCACGGTGGCCGCCGAAGAGCGCGCGGCATTGCGCATTGTCAGGGGGGGGGGGGGGGGGGGGGGGGGAGACGCCGCGCGTGGCGAGTAGACACGACTCGGGAAAGAGGCGGCGGCGGTGGAGAGAAGAATTGTTAGCCTGTCGCCGTTGATGAACTGCCAGAACTTAGCCATAGACAGCCTAGCTGTGAAAAAATACCGTGAACCTTTTTGAACCGATTACCGTTATATTTTTTAGGTTCGGCTCCTCTTCAGTTCTAAGATGGCGGCGAAGATTTGGGTTCGGTTCACTTACGGTTGGGCTAAAAATAACGGTTCTGTTCCGTTTCGACATCCTGATTGATATCATAGGCACGCAAAAAAATACCAAAACGGAAAAAAGAAACTTGCCCGCGCGTTTTCTTTTTTTTTTTTTATTTTTGGTATTTTTCTCCCCCTCTTCTTACATCCTCACGTCTTTTTATCTGTGACGTCAAAAATTATAAAGTTTAGGTGTGTACGCGACATTTTTATAATAATTAATAACGGCATTTGTAAAACTTGTTTTTTCAAAACTATTGCGAACGCACTACGGCCTTTATTTTTGGAGTACCGAAAATCGAATTCCGGACTGGTGTGGCCTCCTAGTTTGTTTGTTTTTTATCGGCAGTGTTATTTCGACGTCCACCACTAAAATATCTCAAAACTTATTTGGACGTCTGTGACGTCACTTCCGTAAAATGTCAAAATAGTGGATTTATTATTTCGACGTCCTCCTTCGATGCTGGTCGCAGTGGTAGTCGTTTTGTAATTTCGTTGGCTTCGTGTTTAGTTTCTGATGGTGTTGTGTTGGCGTTTTGACGAATTCATGTCTTATTTAACGTGTGTGTGGGACTGGCTTGACAGTTGATCCTTTCGGACGTGACACGCCCGGTGGCGATGTTCTGAGCGTTCTGAACTGGCATCTAGGCACGCGCGTCTCACTTAAAATTTTGAATCTACGACAGAGGCGAGCTGGATGTCTCTGTCTTGCCTGCACGTAACAAATATAAGTGTGTACACTACATAACACTGAGAAATTTGGCACGCTTTTTGTGTCTATATCGTGCGAGCGCGTCTTCGTATTTGCAGTGTCGCTTCGCATCTAACCGTGTTTCGTTAGTTCATTGCTTTAGATGTTCTGTTTGGTTCGTGTTTAACGAGTGCGTTAACTACGAAATGATCGGGATGTTAAAATGTTGTGAATGCAAATGTTGCCACCTTAATATGTTTCTTGACCGGCGCGAGCGAACAAAGCTTCTAGCGCGGTTGTACGAGATACAGGCATTTTCCAATCAACCGCAAATCTATGGCACGGCATTCACCTCCTTTGTCTGTATAAATCACGTGAAACAAATGCTGAAAAGCAGCACTACCGCATTCTGTAATGTTTGGCACAACCAAACATATGATACGTGCGGCCTGATAGCTAATGTACTTTGAGAACTCGACTGCATTACATTTGTTTTCGGAAAATGCGTGTACAGTGGCGACGCTGCCTGCAAGCAAGATAATTTTTTTTTTTTTTGACCGCCGGGCTCCGAAGCTTTAGAGTTTGAGACGTCAGAATAAGGGCAAAAATATATTGACAGAGGACGTCAAAATGTTTTTGAAAATATTTCCACGTCTTCAAAAAGTAGCGTCACGGACATCAAGCTAATATTCAAAATTATTTTGAAAGTGGACGTTGAAATATTGTCGAGACCGGTTATAAATTAGAACGAAGTCGACGGGATTCGGAAATCACTTCGCTATATCCGCTATTTCGTTATAACCGACTTCGGTTTAACGAAGGGTAAAAGAGAATGGCAAATCGTGTTTGCTTCGCTGTAGCCGCTACTTCGTTATAACCGATTTCGTTATAACCGGTCACGACAGTAATTACTGCCTTTTTACCCTCCCTCGGAAAACATGGTGGCGCGGCGGCGCTCGGCACATATAGCACTGAGGATGATCGGTAAGTCGGAAAATCGAACGAAGTTCTTTTTTTTTTTTTTTTTTTTTTTTGTAGGTGCCCGACGACCTCTCAAGTTCGAAAAGCAAATCGCCAAACGGTCAAAACGAGTGGGTTTAGTATCTGTGTATTTCGGTTGTGAACCGCCGAGTCCGCCTTTCACGCAGAACCGGTGCGGCGTGCCCTCTCACGTCGCTCACAGAAGTCCTCAGCGCGTTCCCTTCGACCTCACACCGTTTCAAAGATTTTGAGATCGCTGAAAGGGCCCTCAAATACCTTCAAACTCGAAAGTGAAGCGTCGTCTGCTCACAGCGATAGGCGGCACGATTGCGGGACGCAGGCGAACACGACATCGGGTCAGGACGGTTCGGAGGCGTGAGAAAAACTCCAGTTGCAGGACGACTCAATCTTTGACATCACTGCGCTGGAGCGGAGAGCGCGGGAACTTCAAAATTGGCTTTTAAAGTTTTTTTTTTTTTTTTTTCAAATTGAGTTTTAAAATTTTGAAGGGTAATATCCTGGCATCGTTATCAATCGTTTCGGATAATAAAAAAAAATATATTTTGACCTGTCACTGCCCCTCTAAGCTGAGTGCAGCCAAAGCTACAAGCGCGTGCTAGCCCGCCGTTTTGGCTTTTAAACGTGCATTTCTAGCGCGAACGCTCGTTCTGCTAAAGAACGCATCAAAGCAGCGACCTCATGATCTCGTGCTTGTGGCATTGGCTGCAGTATCTGACGCTCAATGGTGAACGATCAGAACGGAGTATTCGTCTCGAGATTTGATGAAGAGCAGAACGACGCTTTGTTTTACACTAACTTGGAGCCATAGAGTTATTACAATAAACGCTAGAGGCTCAGCTGGCGCTAGTGTACTGTTTCATTTTGAAGCAGACAGCAAGCAGACAGAAATTGACTCCCGGTAATGCATTTCTATGGAAAAAAGCGAGTGCATTTTCTCTCTGCGCTTGATTATAAGATCAAATATCACTAATAATTCGTACGTACTAGGCACATTGTAAAATTTCTCGGTCACGCAGACGAAATAATTGGTCAGTTACAGCATTTTTATTTGAAATTCGTGGTGTGGAAAACGGTGTTAAAACTGCTTCGTACGTGTATTTATGTGCACTGTCGGACACTGTTAGCGCGAACACGGCGTCGACGCTTTCCAGTATGGGAGATATACGTGCCAAACAAACGAAGGACATGTGGAAAACCAAGAGACGGCAAGAACTACGCAGTAACACTGGATAAGTAACTCCTTGTGCATGCAGGCGATCAAAATAAATTGAAAGCCACGTAATATAGTCAGATTTGCAATAAATAGGCACTGCTTTATTCTTTCTGTTCATGAATATGTGCAAAGATGCTTGTTCTGGGTTCAAATCATCACCCGCACGCTCTAAATCTTTGCAAATAGGGGGAGCCAGAGAGCAGGTGCCCGATAAAAACTGCCCGACATAGAAAATAATAAAAAAAGACACCTTTCGTAGCTCACGTGCTTTATCTTTTTTCGTTCGAATGTTTCTTTAACCGATCGTAAAGGTGCACGACGGAGTCATTTTCATTCAATGACAGGACGGGCATATCAGCAATATATAAGCACCACCGAAGTGCTAGCAGACCTTGAACGCACTCTACATTCATTTCGATCGTTAGTTTGCTTAGAATCGTCGCTCGTCTTCAGATACCTTCCTTGAAACAGAGGTTTGGACCTGAAATAGAGCGAAGTTTAACGTCGTTCAGTGGTAGAGAAAAATGCTGTAACTAAAGCAATCACACTTTCACAATACCAATAAAGGTGCATGCTATCCGGTACAACCGAAATGACAAAAGTTATTCATGTTATTTTCCGGCGAAGAGACATAATTCACGCGCGTTTTCCCATAAAAATACACAGGGAGGCTGGAAATGTAAACTTCACGCTGCCTGCTTCAATTTGCAACCGGAAGTCCCGTAGACACTAGCGCCAGCTGAGCCTCTAGTGTTTATTGAAATAACTCTATGCTTGGAGCAAAACGAATGCTACGCACGCGAGTCCCCAATGTAGCGCTCGCGCACTGGAATCAGCTGCTAAGAGCTCGTGCTTTGTACCCTTGCCCGTGCTCTCTGCCGTTACTGTGGATGCTTTGTCTCCACCCGCATTATGGACAACTGGAATCATCACGTGCCTCATAAAGAACCATGGATAAACAAAAGCAGGCTTTCACACAATTGAATCTGGGTCTTGAGGTCAATAGCAAGATGTTCATTCCACAGGTTTCCAGCAGCTTCACGCTAACCAGGGTGCAGTTATTTAATATATATCACGACAGAACCATGTCGACGATAGTCCTGCGACCATCGTCGACCGCGGCGTCGCTAAGCGGTCTCGTCGTTTCTTGTTCTTGGGTGATCCAGACGTGCAAGGGGCAAGACTGGGCGGGGCCCGTGTTGGACGACAAATCAGTGGCGGCCTTCCGCTACCGCGGCAACCAGTGGCAGTCTTTCCAGAACGAGGACAGCATCACCAAGATGGTATGTCTCACTCCTGGCAAATTACCATGCGCCAACTCATGTTCCTGACATCATGCCATGGCGATGGCGCTGACGGTGGAAATGAGCATGCATTTCCGAAGCCCGTTCAGACACTTGCAACCGAGTATGACCGAGAGAAACGAGACCTAATTAAACCTCTTAAAATTTCTTAGGACGAGAGAACACACTGGCCCGCTGGCGCCATCTATGTGGTGACCCTAGAAGTGCATTTCACAAGAGCGAAGGTTTTGCGGGATTTCCGAGGTCAATGTCCATAATAACTATGAGAAAGTTTGGCTTATAACGTTGACAAAAGTTTTTCGAGCCAAGAAAAAAAGGATAATGCGCGAGAGAAAGAGCAAATATGCTGGACCGTCAAGTTTACGCTGCTTCCTCATAGATGGCGCCAGTGTGTCCTCTCGTTGTAAGATTAAGAGGTTTCAAGGCACTAGGTTCTAAGAGGTCGCAGGTGTGTGAACGGGACTTTACGATCTCTTAGGACCAGCTCCGCAGCAGCGCACCCTGTCCTAAAACGTCGCAAGACGCTTAAAAACCGGTCTTGTCTCTCGGTCGTTCTCGGTTACAAGTTTCAATGGCCACTGAGACTGGATCGGTTTTTAAGCCTCTTGTGACGCCTTACGGCCGGCTGCGTTGCTGCACATCCGGTCGTAAGCCGTCTCAAAAAAGCTTAAAAACCGTTTTTTCTTTTCAGTCGGTCGTAGTCAAACTTAAGTGTGTGTGAAATGGCCTTAAAGGGATACTACAACGAAATTTGAAATATACCCGTCGTGTTCACAAGTAGGCTGCATGCGATGCACAATAACCGTGAATGACAATCGTGCGTTTGTATTTTGAGTCTGATGGCTGTATTTTTCGTTATAAACGGCCCACTCTGGAAAACGCTCGGAGAGCAACCAGCGGAAAGCACTAACATCTGCCGCAATCGTGACGTAGTTTGTCTCGGGACCTTACGTCCGGACGCTGCGAGCTATCCCAGCCGATCCCGCTCTGTGTACGTAGCCCGGGGAGTTTCAGTAGACCGTGTTTCCCGCTCCGCTAGCCCTCCGCTACGAAAAAAACGCCACTGCGCCTGCGCGCCGATGGCCTTGGCTGTAGAGTTCCGGATAGCGGAGGGGCTTAGCGGAGCGGAAAACACGGTCTACTAAAACTGCCTACATGTTTCCGGAGCGGCGGGAACATGTAGGCATCCTACGTGATACGCTATCCGCGCACCGCTGTGCCCCCTCTCCAAGGTTACGTGACATTCACTCGGCCTTGGATAGGCCCCGATGGCTCGTGGCATTTACTGAAAGCAGCCGAAGCACGCCAGCGATCGGGCCACCACAAGTAACCCCAAAGCTGTCTTTGTACGAATTTTTAGTGACGGATTAATCTTCTATAATCTTGTAGAGGGACAATAGCGACTTCTGCGACATACAAAAGAGAGTCTCGGGGAGAGGGAAGTACCTCCTTCAGCTCTTTTCTCGTCGTGGCTAAAGTCGTGGCCGGTGTCGAGACAGTTACCGTCACTACCTGTCAAGGTTCCTAGACGGGCATAACAAGCGAGGCGTTATCGACATCCACCAGGTGCTCTTGCTAGTCGTTTAATTCGTTTTAAAATCTATTTTCGTGTCTTTTTCAACAAGAGATCGCTGTGTCTGATGTAATAATGCTGCACTGAACACGAATAAACCAAAAAATAAGCGGCGAGATTTCGTTGTAGTATCCCTTTAAAGGGTTTGACACGAAAATTAAACAGATAGATTATTGTTGAAATGGAATGCTCATAGGCTACTCGGTATATACACCAAGTTACGCAATTTTTAGAGCTCTGTCAGTTGCAATATTCAATTTACGAATTTTTATCGTTTTCATCTGGCGACCAGGCAACACTGCCCAAGTTAGTCACACCGTGGTGTCCATCAACCAAGTGGCCATGAACGCTCTCTTTCTAGGCGCCCCCATGATCGCGCAAGCTCTCCTCGCCGCGGTACGATCAAAGCCGCTCACGCAACTCGGTAACCCGAACGCTATTCTCGCTCTCGCCCCCGGCGCGTTGACCTTCCACTCTGCATGCGTCTGCGAGATATTGCCGGACGGCGGTGACCACGGCGAGTTCGTCCTTAAGCCGTCACTGGAGCTGGTCGCCAGCGGGTCGCAGCCAAATGTACAGCTTCCAACATCTCTTGATAGCATTCACTCTCATCACTGCTGCGATCAATGTCGAACACTTTGACAAGGAGAGCGATACCGTAGACGTAATCTTCACGGACCGCATGCTGGAAACGCGGAAGGTAAACGAGGAAGCTGAAGCTCAAGACGCCAAGAGTGCCAAGTCTGTGAGTGCGTGCAAGGGGACACCGCGCAAGAGGCTGGCTACGTAGCCAGCCTCCAACTCCGCCCGCATCCGCCCCTCCGAGGGACCCGCATGTAAATCGATTTATCCACAAAACTATCGCGCCATTTTCAAAACAAATTTAGCAGGATTATAGGAACATACAATGGGTCCTAGCAGTATAGTTGTCTTATATTAAACACACTCAGGGTGTTAGCCCTGCGACAAGTGATTTACACCCTTTGCTGTGTAAAACTTCTTTGTGAGCAGCCTGCCCGTAGCAAAACTCAACTAGGTATCTCTGGCGGATTTCCGGACGCAGATGCGCCTGGTACTCAAGGTGAACCCCAGCGTATGCGTGGCAGCCTACTTCGTGGACTACGAAGACTACAGAGGCGACTGCATCAAGGACAAGCCTTTCCCGAGACTGTCAGCTGTACGACGTATCCTCGACCAAGTTGTGAACCACTGAACAATAGTTTGTCCAATCCTGCGAATCATAAACCATCACCCCTCTCCATATGTCTGTCTCTTGTCCAGAGTTTAAGCGACGTATATAGACCAACACGCTGATCTGAAGTCACGGCGCATGCGCAGACACTTCAACTTACGCGAATCTGGTTTGCGCACGCGCACTACCGGATGTGGAAAAACGAGGACTTGTTTGTAAACAGTTCCTTCATTCCTACGGGGCAATCCTATAGAAAGATGGCCTAGCGAGAATTTCCCATTGAATTGTTTTCTTGGTCGTCATTTGAACCCTGCCGGAAATGGGCCAATTGAAATAGATCGTAAAATCACATTGAGTCTACGAGAAATTTCAGGCTCAAACACATTCAGTTGTATGCATTTATGGAACAAAAACTTGTGTGCAGAAGGTGCTTTGATGCACGTACGTATGTATGAATTTATGGCACAAAAAAAATGTGCAGCTATATTGGTGATAGGTATACTCTGATGTACATAGGACTTTGTGCATTTATGTCACGAAAATATATGAGCAGCTATTGGTAATAGGTACTATTATGCACATAGGTCTTTATATTTATGGCATATAAAGCTATGTGCAGCTATTGGTAATACATACTCTGATGAACATGGGTCTGTGTGCATTTATGGCACAAAAGCCTATGTGCAGCTATTGGTGATAGGTATTCTGCCTGTATGCGTTTATGACACAAAAACCTGCAGGTGCAGCTATTGGTAGTAGGTACTCTGATGCATATAGGTTTGTATGCATTTATGGCACAAACACCTGTGTCACTATCGGTTCTTTACTTTCATTAATTTGCTCCAAAGGGGAAATCGAGAAAAAAACAGGTAGCGCAGATGTTCAAAGCAAATTAATTTCTGTTTGTATAAATGGGAAAAAGTTGAAAGGGGTGATCTGAAACACCAGTAAGTATTCTTGATGGTCCAATGAGCATGAAATGCAAAATCCAACCTGCACCAAACAAAAAAATATATATATTTTTTTATTTGGGCACGTACATTGCAACACACTGTTAGCGCGAACACGGCATCGACGCTAATTTGTATTCTTTTTCAAAAGAGTTTTCACAGGCATCAAACTTTATTGCTTAGTTTAAAGCCCCAAAAGAGCCCTTGCTGTTTAACGTTCACACTAAAAGTGTCGCTACATGTATATCAAAACTGAACACATTCAAAAACAGTTCCAACAGTACTGAAGAAATAACAAGCAGGTGATGTTACAATCTAGCAGTGACTTGTCTTTTAGAGCGCAGCTCTTATGCGCCCGTCTCCGGCTTGAGCGGCGTCGCCGTCGCCGTCTGCGTCGGCGTAACCGCGCGCGTTGCGTTATAAAAATAATGCAAGCAGGCGTAATCGCTTTGCATAATGGAAACCTTTCCCCGCTAAATTTAGTGGAAAGATTTTTGCTAAATTTTCTTGCTAAATTCAGCAGGGAAATTTTCCCCTAAGTAGCTCCGGTAAAAAGTAAATTTGGCGGGTGACATTTTCCACTAAATTTAGCGGGGAAATTTTCCCGTTCAATTTAGCTGAAAAATGTCTCCGCTAAATTTAGTGGAAAATTTTGCCCTTCAAATTTAGCGGGAAAATCTCCCAACTAAATTTAGCCGAAAATTTCCCCGCTAAATTTAGCGGAGAAATGTTAACGATAAATGTAGCGGACCCGCTAAATTTAATAGGAAAATTTCCCCGCTATGCTTAGCCAGAAACTTTTTACTAAATTTAGCGGGAAATTTAGCGAAAATTTTCCGAAAATTTTCTGCTAGATGGAAGGGGAGCGGGAGAGGAGGAGGGGAGGGTACGGGGGGGGCATGCCTTCTGCTCCATACCCTCCCCTCCTCCTCCTCCTCAAGAGCTGCGCTCCAATTCGGCATAGCAGAGAATTGTAAACGACTTTCATTTTTTAGAGCGCAGCTCTTAGGCGCCCGTTTCCGGGTTGAGCGGCGTCAGCGTCGGCGTAACCGCGCCTTGCATTATAAGACGTTTCCCATAATGACGTTACACATGACGTCACGTGTGACGTCACGAGGGTAAAATTCTTCGGCTTAGGTTGTTGACGAAATTTTTCGCTAAATTTGGAAGGAAATGTTTTTCCTTAATTTAGGGGAACGTTACACGTGAAATTTCACGTCATGTATCCCGTGACGTCACACGTAAAGTTGACGTGTCACGTCACACGTCACTTTAGGGGGAAAATGTTCTCGCTAAATTTAGCGGAAAAGCTTTCCCGCTTAAATTAGCGGGAAAGTTTACCCGCTAAATTTAGCGGGGAAATGTTACCGCTACATTTAGTGGGAAATTCTCCTGCCAAATTTAGAAAAAGAAATTCCCCTCTAAATTTAGCTGAAAATTTTCCCAAGTAAATTTAGCGAAGAAATTTTCGGTCAATTTGGCGATAAATTTAGCGAAAATTTTCCGCTAAATAAGAAGGGAGCAGTATAGGACGATGGGAGAGAGAGGAGGGGCATACCCCCCCGCATTACCTCCCCCTCCCCCTCCTCAAGAGCTGCGCCCCAATTCGGCATTACAGGAAATTGTAAACTTTTTTTTGCTGCTATAAGTGCAGGGTTTTATTGGTTAAAAAAAGCCATCTCATTATATTAAAAATTTGGAACAGTTAAGATTTACATATAACTCGTCTAGTTGCGATGAACCACTTTGTCAGACAATTCGCAATATAGTTAAAATCTTAGACTGTGAGCAAATTTGAGGCTGGCGCAGACCAAACTTTTTCATGTTTATCAAAAGGGCTGGACTGGAGTAAAAAGTAAACCTGGAATGGTACTTGTTTTTACTCTGCAACAAAAAAAAACAATTTAAACAAAACCTGACTAGTAGTAAAATTGTACTAAATTGGAATATTATGGTATACAAAGGGGCACGAACGATTCCCTTTAGCTTTGATGCAAGTCTTATTTAGCATTGATGCTTTAAGACTAAAACACCGCAAATAAATGTTTCTATAAGTGCTAGGAAAATGTTCAAAGAGCAGCCAAGTTACAGAAGCGTCCCTTCGTTCTTGTGGCGACCTGGCCACTACCAACACCTCTTAGATAGCCAAGCTGTAATGCTGAATTTGTTGCATCACCTAAGGAAGGCCACCATGAGGCAGATTGAATACAGTTGTGGTCTCAGCGTTTGGCCGGGTCTCGCGACCGGCCAACGAGAATCTGAGTCCCAGCCAAACACTGATGCATCACTCGTATTCAACCTGTGCCCCGTGGCGGCCTTCCCTGGGTGACACAACAAATTCAGCATTACGGCTTGACTATGTAAGAGATTTTACTACTACACTTGCATCTTGTCGGGAGCAAGGGGGTTGGGAACTGCCCCTTCTCAGTCTTTAATGAGCCTCTTGCTCGCTCTCCCTGAATCTCTGGTCGTGTTGATGGCGTGGCCGTCCATATGCTCCATACGTTCAACGTAGATGTCCTCACTTTCGCCATGCTGCCTGAGCCAATCTTCATAGCAGTCTGGATAATAGAAAATTGTATAAAAAAATTATGGTGACAGACCCGTGAAACTTTAATTGAGATCTACCACCATGGTCGGGCTGTGCAGTATGAAGATGGTAGTAGCTGAAGTGGGCCTAGTGTTTACTAGTATTCACATTTTGAAATGAAGCCATTGTGTTACTAAGTGCAGGTGGCCAGTTCCCTTCTGTTACGTGCTCAGTTGTTTTAGGAGCGTTGGAATTAATCGCCCGGTGATAGCCACACCTCACACTGCCCAGATATTTTGTACATATGCACCTGTTATGTGGCCAATACTTCAGCGGGAAGTCAGCAGGTTATGTCTTTCTTCGCAATTGAATCAACATGGTACTTATTCACTGATTTTTAGCAATTCAACACAAAATTACATTATGCATGGTTTTTGGTAATGTATTACAATGTAGCTGGGCAACTGAACCCACATACGGGAAATGGAACAAATGGTCCCGAAATAAATGGTCCCGAAATAAATGGTCCCGGAACAAATGGTCCCGGGACAAATGGTCTGAAGTACAAACTAAGAAAAAATGGTCCCAAATAAATATCGCCAATGTGGCTTCTGCGTTTTCGAATAAATCCGATCAAATCCAATGACACTCGCCGGTAACCATTTACGGTTTCCAATTTATAAGAAAAGCTCGGAATTTCGTGGCTGACGGTTGCACGAGCTCGACCAGTTTTTTTATATTTTTCTGGGAAGCTCGAAAATGTTTTGCGCTATGGAAAGCTAATACGCCTGGGCGGTTTCATTTGGACTCAGGCAACGAGTTTGGATGCAGTCGTTTTTTTTTTTTTGCCTCAATTCTTTATATTTTGTGGCGCATGTTCCAAGAAGAACAATCCTTTTTATTTTAATGTCCTGGCATGTTTAGTTTCTGAGAAAAAAAAAATCTCAAAGCGGGAAAGAACGACGAGGTCTTGGCGATTGTCGTGTGTGGTGTTTTTTAATCACTCTCAATCTCAAAGTATTCAAAAGATTGCGTCTATATTCTTTTTAGTGTGATATATATGTAAGTAGGTAAGACGACATTATAACTAATATTTATAATTCGTCGCTCCAATCTTTGGAAAAATCCCCAAACATACCTCCGCGAAAAAAATGTGACCTAAACTGCGGATTTTTTTTAGTCGACTATGTTTAGTATTACTTTAAAATAATAACACGTGTAGAAACTTTCATTGCCTCACTCATTATTTAAAGTTCTTGTCTTGATCATGTACGAGTACTGAGAAATAAATTATGAAATAGAGGTTTTCAATCTTCGTTTAATTTCAGCACGCTATATATATAAAAAAAAAAACTTTTAATTTATTTTCTTACGTCGCGTTCTTTTTACATTCTTATTTTACCCAGAATACATTCCGTTGGAAATATATGCACTGGTTTTGAGTTTTAAGCCTCTAAATATACTAAAAAAGAGCAAATGCCTATGGTGGGTTTTGACAATTGTCGAGTGTGGCGTTTTTGAACCACTCTCAATCTCGAAAT